CATTTTTGAACCTTCATAAGTCCATAACGCCTTCATGGATTGTGGTGATATTTGGTATGGCTGGTAGGTCTTAGGAGGGCGAAGGTCAAGGTCAAATATGGGCCTCCTGGTGGATGGTCTTGGTACTGCAGCAGCACTTCCGGTTTAAGGTTGAGTCAGGACATGGCTGAGAGGAATCTACTTTATACTTGCGAGGCAGGGTAACAGATGTGGCTATGCCCAGCGAGGCAGCGCGCTCCCTCAGGGGAATAGGTGACCTATTTCAGGGCAAATGTGGCAGTGCCACTGTATGGCTGTGAGTTTGAAAACAAACAACCTGTGTTATAACCTCCATGAAAATGGAGGTATTGTTTTTGTTGCGTCTGTCTGTCTGTCTGTCTGTCTGTCTGTCTGTGTGTTTGTGTCTCCGCACATTTGCGGCCAGCATAACTTCATAACGCCTTTATGGATTGTGATGATATTTGGTACGCTGGTAGGTCTTAGGAAGACGAAGGTCAAGGTCAAATATACGCCTCCTGGTGGATGACCTTGGTACTGAACTTCCGGTTTTTGTATCTTTTGTCCTGAATATGCTATGGTCTTGATTTTTTGGTGGCAGATAGATTGTCCTGTCAGGAATAAGTGGTGTGGGTTTGGTCCCCCTAGCAGCTTGTTCTGGAACTGCAGGGGACTTTCGGGCGAAATCTTTAAAAGCCAATAAGTCCAGATAGAAACAATGTATTTTCATCATTTTTGGTAGGTAGGTAGCTGAGAGAGAGATGTACATAATTAACTCCAAATTATGCAAATGAGAACTTAATTTGCATAATTAATGAGGAAATTCTATAATTACAGTGTTTTGCATTATAGTACTTTCATACATGTAATGTACTAGTATGTAATCTATGGCAGATGGAACATCACCAGATACCAATTATGCAAATGATGACCTAATTTGCATAATTAATGCGAAAATTCTATGACTCCTTAGTGGTAAATGATGGGAATTTCATACTTGGTACATGTGTAAGTTAATCAAAAGTTAACATCACGATGCATTTATTATGTTAATGTGGAGGTAATTTGCATAATTAAAGAAGAAATTAACATTCACATGTCAAGCCCATATTTCATGGAGGTATGAGATCTCGGAACTCTTGTTTTGTTTGTTTTATTAGATCTCCATTAGTGTTCAACTGACCACTATTCTTCCTGGAGTCCACATAAAATTCAAAATTATAACAACAGAATTGTACAGAATTCAACTCAATATTAACATAATTTGAATAATTGAAAATAATCAACATAATCAAGTAACATAAGCTGAGTTCGAATTAGAGTGATCACTGACATTATAAAAGTAACATAATTAAGTAACATAAGGTAACTTAAGTTCGAAATCAAATTAATAATCAGTTAATGTAGTCAACTATGAAACAATTTAACAACAAAAATCTCTTGATTAAACAAATTGATAATGCAACTCAAACCAGAGAGGGAGAGGTCGGAGGTCAGAATGAGAATAAATTATAGTGGTAACTCAAAATACAGTAAACTGAGGTGGTAACTCAAAATACAGTAAACTGAAAATACAGTAAACTGAGGTGGTAACTCCAAATACAGTAAACTGAGGTGGTAACTCCAAATACAGTAAACTGAGGTGGTAACTCCAAATACAGTAAACTGAGGTGGTAACTCAATATACCTGAGGTGTTCATACCTTACAGAAGTATACATTTCCCATGACTACAGTATTGCAAGTTTGTTTGTTGTTTATCAAATCATCTGAGCTCCACCTCTCTGATGGCCGCCTCCAAATCTTCTTTTTTCTTCTGGAGCTCAGCCATGGTGAGTGGGGCGGGCGGGGACGCCGGGGATTCTTGGTTGCCGAGACCTTAGCAATCCTTCCCCGCCTGGCCGGCCTTGTGCGACGAAAGAGGGTCGCCGCAGCCAGGGTCAGTTTATTCCTACCAGCTAAGGCGGCCTTGATAGGCACCCAGTTATTTTATTCCCAAAGAGTTGCCGTTTTTCCTTCAATCTGCAGTTTCCAGTAGTGGAATCTTCGTTTTCAGTCGTCTATGTCGCTTGTGTATAGCCTCCGTTCACTGAGAAAACCTGGTTTCTCACTTTCCCCCACCTGAGTAAACAAGCTTCAAGCTTGTCGGGTTTGGAAGTCATCCGAGCCCATTCGTGACGGTGCTAACGACTCTAGTCTCCGCAACACGCGTTTGGCACAGGGGGCTTTCTCAGAAAGCTAGCCACGTCGTCCATAAACGCCCTGAGGGGCGGACGTCTCTGAGCCGTGGCAGCTTTATCCCTCCTGCCACCTGTCTCGCAACTATGATACCTGAGGTGTTCATACCTTACAGAAGTATAAATTTCCCATGATTACAGTATTGCAAGTTTGTTTGTTGTTTATCAAATCATCTGAGCTCCACCTCTCTGATGGCCGCCTCCAAATCTTCTTTTTGCGACGTCCTCAGGGGACGGCGCATTAGTATAGTACTGCGATCGATGTGCCAGGAATTCTAAAAATTCCGCCGATGCATCCCCTAGGGAATTCACTTTTTGCAATGCCGGTAGCAGCTGTGCCTTGTTTAGACTTCAGTGTCATTTTATTTGGGGCGTGTGTGGTATTCCTATTTACATTGTAAGAATGTTGATCTTACACAGCCGGAAAGCCACGTCGAGAGTTCTATGCGTTTCTCTTTTCCTTCCGCGAGAGAAAGTAGTCCGTTCCACGGCTCCGGGCGTCGACACGCCTCACAAGAAAGCTTACCGATTATACAATCAAATAACTTCCTTATTGTAACTTATTCATAATATTTAGACTTCCTAATTTGCTCCCCATGAATTTTTGAGCCGAGAATGTACCTTTCTCCTTTTGATATCATGACCTGAAATTAGGCAATTTTAGTACAATTTCCCCGTGTATTTTCACCTTGATGCAGATTTCGCACCAACAGGAAATTTGTTGGGTGAGAAAGAGCAAGTCTTAATCTTTCTGATGGTATTTGACTTATAGACGATTTCGAGGGCGAAACGGGTTTCCCCCGAAATTCCGTGAGGCCATGTTACGGGAAAAAGCAGAATTTTTCCCCAAATAGAACGCGCATCCCCGGCGCCGCGGCCGACGAGCTACGTGTGTTCTACGGAGCGCGCTCCTCTCCTACATGTCCTATACATGACCATACATCGCTATTATTGTCGACCTACGTCTAAACTACTTTTAGTTAGACCACACTGGGTGTTAATTCATCTTATATCTAAACAAGTTCTTTTATTTTGCAGGCAGAATATATGTTTGTGGTCCCTTGATAGATACGGCCTGTCTGAAAACTCGAAACCAGCGTCTGCCTAAACGCGAGGAAACATTATACTCTCGTAGCTTCCTGACCTTTGAAAAACGCACATCTAATTAGAGCAAGCGGACCATTAGAACTAGAATACCTCAAACATTGATTCATGATTGGGGAGAATTCAAAGAATAATTATTGTATCCGTTTTCTCGATTTGAATGGCGCTGGGTTTAAATAGTTACTAAAGAAAAGTTACATTTATCGACCTGCTGGCTCAGTAAAAAAAATAGCCTATGGACATAACCCAACGCTTCTGGTACCTAGTCAGGACAGTGCAACATGCATGCTGTGATTATGGGTAAGTTTATCCTGGATCTGTTATCCAATCTACATGTATAGTCCATGTGTACTGCTTACTATAATAAGATAACAGGTCCTCATGTCCCTAGTTTTACACAAAAGCATTTGCATATTTCTAATAGTGCTCGGTGTTGTCAAATCCCTAAACATAACTCTCTCACATACATCCAAACAATTATACACAAAATTACCCAAGAGCCATTAACGTTGCTTCAACCTTTATCTCATTACCAAACAAAAAAACAAAGTAGTACATTTTGTTGTTGACTGGGATATCAAATACTTTGGATCAGTACATGTATACATACATCTTTTACAGTACATATATTACTTAACACATGCTCAAAAGTTACAGTAGACATTGAATGCTGAATCGACTATTAAATATGATCTCAAATTGTATTAAGATTACAATAAACAGAATAGATAGAAATTAAGATCTTAATACATAATACATCTTATATATATATATATATATCCATAATCTCAAGCTAAATATACAATATACCATCCTGGTGTCCTGCTGGTGACAATCCCACTGGGTGTGGCTTTTACCTGCAAGGTGGAAGAATAAAAAAAATGTAAGTAAGACACGACACCAAACCCAATTCACTTGTAAATCAACATCAGAGAATTCTGAATCTGAAATGTTATCCAATGCAGACAAGCTGCCTATGTAAATGTCATCTATGAAATTAACATCCTGATCCTCACTATCAAAAAAGTCTTTTCTGAATCAGAATCATCATGAATTTCCTGATTTTGATCAATATGGAGTAAATTAGAACATTCAGAATCAAATGTTGAAGTTGGCATAGAAGAAATAAGTAATTTAGATTTGGACTGTACAGCTTGTATAGAAGTCCCATCCCACCCACGGGGACTTCCAGTAAAATTAAATCAGTACATTGGCTATAGTAATAAATCAACTCAGATTTTGTCATATGAAAAGGATAATTACAGTGGAGTTCAGAGACAATAAAGGAAATAAGGGAAGAAACTTAGAGCTTCTATGGCTTGTCTCATCCTTAAGAAAGGCAAAGTAATGTCCAAAGATTAAAAATCAGAAAAAGAAATTTCAGACTTTTGCATACTTAACACAACAATAAAATTCCAAACAGGATTTGTTTCTTTAGAAATGTGGAACAGGGAGGTTGCAGTTTTATGCAGGTTAACAATTTCATGCAAGGAGGTTGGAATTTATCAATAAATTTGGAGGATTCTTAATGAATCACAATATTCATATATAAAAAAGAAAGACCAGGGGCCAGAATTAATACTATCCTTTAAATCTTTTAGCATAGAAGCAAAACAAGACTGAATAGACTTGATCTCTTTATTCTCTTGATCATATTTTTTAATGGTTACCTCTTGCCAATGAAGTGATTCTATAATATCACAAAATCTATAGTATAACATTAAACTATGTTTGGTGTTAGAACTTTTTTGAACCAAAATAAAGTTTACTAAATCATTTAAGAGTCCAACCACAGTAGAATGTGTCATAATCAGTACATTACTTTGACTTTTACATTCAAATCATTTCTTGAACTTAACATTTCTACATAAAGATCATCCACAAGAAGTATTGGTTTACTTTCAAAAAACAGTTCTCCAACCTTACAAGAAACCTGGCGCAATGCTACTTGAGGCAAATTTTGGGGGCTAGGGTCTTCCTGACATTTTCTTAACATATAACGTTAGTGCACACTTTTGTTTTCACTTTTATTCTTAGTTATATATTTGTATTGGTTGTACTTCATCATCATCATCATCATTCATCCTCCGTAGAGGTGGAGCATACAAAGTTAGTTCGCCACAACTGTCTGTCATACATCACTGAGAAAAGTACTTGTTTAGTGTTAAGTGTCAAGTGGGGCTGTTAATGTGACTGTAACTTTGTTTATTTGTTTATTTGTTTATTTAAATTTTTCACAAAGTGAAAGGGAGGGCAAAACAGGTGCGAAGCACCTTTGCTAGTTGCCCTCCCACACTTGAGCACAGTCCCACTTTGTCCTTGTCCTTCTTTGAATTTTAGTAATAATTTTCTAAACATGCCAGGAGAGAGGGTGACATGGTTTGCCCAAGGCGGTTTAAACATTTTAAACCTTGGTTTGCCAGATACTTACCAATCTAGTCTGTGAAGCCTATGATGATCTGAAACAGAAATAAAAGAAGCCCCTTCACACCTTTTTCTTAATTCAATACTAAAATGAACATTAGCTTTATTTCAATAATCAGTGATATAACAGTTACATGCTCAACCATTTATTATAATTTCTACAAATGTCACAAGCTGCCTAAACATGTATATTGTGCACTGTTTTTATCATCAATCACTAACGTTAGATATGGTAGTACAGGCATGCTTGTCTTGCTGTAACTTTAGACACCATGACAAGACATTGTAACAATTTGCAGCAGTCATGCAGCTTTGTTGTTCTTGTATGACAACCAGACATCACGTGATAAAGTTGGCGGGAATTTTTTGCAAATACGCAAATTATGCAACAATGTCCGAAATGAAATCAAACGACAAACTATGAGTTTTAGCCATAAAATTGGCCTAAAAAAGGGACCCTAGTTGGCATTATATTGCAAACCTATCCAGACTTCGCACCAACAGGATATTCATAATGGGAGATAGCCAAAGGTTCAACACATTTTATCCACATATCGTCATATGCAAAATCGAGGGCGAAACGGGTTTCCCCCCAAATTCAAATAAGACGAAAATTCAGATCAGTCCAGGGCGGCCATTTTGTTCATTTCACTGTGCACCAAGTTTAATCACAAAACTACACTAAAACTGATAGAATACCCCTCAAATATGAATACTACGGAGAGCCCATGATATACACTTCTGATACGTACCGCCATCTTGACGCAGAGGCCGAAACTGGTGATGTAATCGGCTGTCAACAACTCGGATGAAATTTCAGCCCGCCGCCTGCGAAAATGTTGTCCTTAGCAACGGCGTTGCTATGGACGGCGGAGTGATACGCTCTGCAAAGAAAACTCGTTCGAAAAGCGTTCGATTCAGTACGTGGCTTTCCGGCTGTACAGTATAATTTTCACATCTTTCCGCCCACGCAACCCGGAGTTATGACAGTTCTAAAATCGACGAAAAGCACCCGCGGTTATAGTGGACGCGCCGCATATATTATCAGGCGGTGGTGGTAGTGGAACCCTCCCACGTGACCGCGCCGGCCAATCAGAACGCTGGGTTTTGCAAAACTTTCATTTAGGTAGCGATTTTTCTACCCCAGTATCTCGTTAAATTTCTCTACAATGGGATTATTTTGAAAGTTCAGAACCGGGGGGAGGGCCTAGGAAAAAATATTTTAACTTGGGGGAGGGCCTAGGTAAAAATTTTTTCCAAGATCCCTTTAACTCTACAACGTTTTTATAAACATGATTAAACGTCTGTCCATACATATCGTAGCGATTTGCCGGTCACTGGAATCGGCAGAAGGTCTGTAAGAAGCTTTATCATGTAAAACGGTTAACTCAATATGCAGGTAATTAGAAGTAGAAAAACCTGTTCAACAACCGTAAGAGTCTTTGTCACGTAAGGAAGGTTCCTATGCACGGCGGTCTATCACTACGGTATTCTTTCCCATTGCTAGGGGGGTTCGAAAACGTATCGGGTTACAAGACGCAAGTTTGGCCAGTTTGGGACTACCCGTAAAACACTTGAAAATAAACAAATAGTATTGAAGGGTAAATTCCGTCAAAATAAAATGAAATTATCGTCTTCACATAGGTTTAACCCTAAACAGTACACCTGGGGTCCGCGCGGACCCCAGCACTATATATTCTGTAATATCTTTTTTGTTTCTAAAGATTTTTTTCTGAAATTTTAGGTAATTGTCACCCACAAAGTTGACTCTCAATACAATGCAGAAAACTTCGTTTCTACCTTTTATAGAAAAAAATTATATCTGATTTTCTTTTGGGGTCCGCGCGGACCCCAGCCGGCTCTTGATCATAATGGATACACTGGCGCTCTTATACATTACCTTATTTCCGTTTTTATATGTTTTTATGCACTCATCGTATGTCTACCAAGTTTTCAGAGAATGGTATAGTAATAGAATTAAATTTTAATAACTTTGGTGTAATTATGACGTCATATGACGTCAGAGCTAATAATATAGTCCGCCATATTGGATTTTGACCAATGACGTCATCAAATTAGCATATTCTATGCATATTAAATGATTTAACTTATATTTAATTATGTAAGATGTTATTAATGTTTGAAAAGAAGTGTAATTTAATATAAAACTCAGAAAATTTTTATGTTTAAACCAAAATTACTTCTATTTTTAAAAAAACTCCCTGCTAGAAACCCGTTGCCATGGCAACACAAAAAAAACATCAACTTACTAGTACTAAACTAATATGAACTCTTTTCCAGAGACATTTTAGGAAAGGTCTCCAAATTTGATACTTCTAGCGCAAGCCGTTTAGCTGCTATCTGAGATCAAAGTTGGGCCTCAAAAGCCCCTTCAGTCTAAAATGGGTTTAAAAATCGGGTATTTCTTCTTGTCTTCTTTTCTTCACCAAAAAATAGAAAAAGTTCAAAATGTATGATTTTTGTATGTAATGTGGACACAGAGGTTCCCACATCAGTTTGCAAAACAATTGAGCTGGTAGCATGTTGATAATTTCTAAAAATTAGCAAAAAACTGTTCTGGGGTCCACGCGGACCCCAGGTGTACAGATTAATCAGTCCGGGAAGGTGTACTGTTGAGGGTTAATGCTAGTTGTTTACGTTAGATTACTAATTTTAAAAAATCTCGCTCCAAAAGACGATATTTTTCGGGATTTGGAAAGCCAGTCCGAGACAGTCCGAGTCATGTTTTTAGGCAAACATCGTTTAAGATTGGCTACGTATATTACTAAAAATCCCCGATTTTTATATTTTTCGACGACTAAGAATAAGATCAAAAATCATGTCTTAGGAATTTTTCAATTTCTGATTTTAAGTATAGTTTTTGTCGACATAAATGTGAAAAAACGGAATTTTTTTACATTTTTCACACTCAATTGCTCATAATTCAAGATCAAGGTCCTTTTTCGAAAATCCCTAAGACACGATTCTGGACAAACCCGTTACGGTCATTTTGAGCCGTCAATGAGATATGTTGGACTCTCCATGCTTCCAATCTTAAACGAGTTTTGCACGCATGTCATACGGCATGAATATGAGCCGTGTTTATTTAGGCTAGTGAGTACAAGCATTACGATCTTCAAGGTCACCCACGATAACGGCAGTAGCTTCGTTTCATGTTCTAGCCCACTACAAAATGAAGGCAGGCATGTAGTTGTCCAGGAAATGGCTTATATTTTCTAAAAGGTGGATTTTTTTTCTGTTAGGAGGTACACATGTAAAAAGGGGCCGGAAGACCCAGGTTTACTGTAAATGACCGCGGGTGACCCCATTTCGAACACCGTTCTATTCGAATTACGTCAGATCGAACATGGTTCGGGTTCTACTGCAGGTGGGGAGATCGGGGCCCTATTTTGACCACCGTGATGGTAAGAAATTACCATAGGAAATGATTACTGTCCCTTGGGCTGTGGCAGGGCGGGGTCCCATGTGCTTGAGAGTTCTATGCGCAGTCCCCACTTCTAATTACACATGTACCTGCATATTGAGTTAACCGTTTTACATGATAAAGTTTCTTACAGACCTTGTTGTTTAACCGGTTTTTCTAGTTACTTGTATATAAGAGTGATTCGGTTCTCTGTTCATTTGTGACGCTGAAGAAGAGTGATGGATGTCACTCGAAACGTCCGGAAATAAATAAAAATCCGTAACTGATCCAGTACAATGTAGTAGAGTTTGAATTTTCTTACGAGTATCGTTTACCTGGATGTCTAACCTTCATCAACGAACCGTATAACTGTTCATTAGTAGTATGTTTCCACCATGGTGTATTGAAAACTACTCGCAGCATCTTCGTGTATGTTCCGTTTAGTTTTCTAGAATGTGACATATTCATAATCCATGATTCTGACCCATACAAAAGAATTGTTTCAATACATGCCTTAAACACTTTGATCTTGGTTTGTTTTCTAATGGGCGCTTTCCAAATCTTATGTAATGAGTGAAGAGCACTCCATGCCTGTGCGATTTGCACATCCATGTCATGATGGGATGGGATGGGATAGGTAGGAGTCTATTTTATATATATCAAATTACGCACTTTGTCCTTGGTAAATGTAAAACACCGATTTTTCATCAAATGCAGATACATGGTTATAGAAAATAGTAGTACGTGAGTAAAAGTTATGTTGAATGCACGGCTATATTGTAACGTTCAGAACTTGGAAACATATGAGATATGGGGCTTGACTTCTAAATGTCCTTGAAGATCAAAGAAAATCTTATTTTTGTGGTCAGTAACACTACGGTAGTGGTCCAAACGATATAAGAAATAACAAAGTTAGGCGATGGACAATTAAATGCGGAGGTTGACAAAAAAAGAAACTTGCAGTTGTGTACTGTTTACATGATTCCCACAGCACGAGTGTGCAGTATTACGTGAGAGGGGCGATCCTCTGATAGCCTGGATGCCAGACCCATAGCACACTGGACACAAATATCTCAGTGAGCCTGGGCCTGGTAGGGTCAGATAGACCTGCCACTCGAACGCTCAGTATCTGAGCGTAAGGCCCCATTGGTGGCACAGCAGGAAGCAATTTTACACCTCTGCTATGATTGGTTAAAGAGTCCCAGCTGGATCTTTGAATCTTCACCAGCAGATGAGATAAAACTGTAGATAAGGTGTATTTTGTCCTAATGTGTTAGAGGACTGTTACCTAAACAAACAGGAAAGCCTGGGTTGTACACTACTTCTACTGTTAAATTAAGTTTTGCTGTTATTTTGGAAAATAAACTCCAAATACATCTAGAAAGTTGACTGGTTAATGATTAACTGTTGAGCCCAAGATTGTCTCCTGCTGACCAATGGTGATACCATGTAACAGGCTACCTGTGGTGTGAGGGGTCATCAATCACAGCTTCTCCCACCCTTTGCTCGAGAGCCTTTCCTAAGAGACCCTGCCAGACCCTTGCACACAGATATTTTGTGTCCAGTGTGCTTTGGGTCTGGCATCCAGGCTAATCCTCTGAGTGAGTGGTGTCACGCGCCCTTCCGCGAAAACAGATCCGCTATCAATAATTACAATCAATGCACGACACCAAGGACTCACTGTGGGGAACTATAAGCTATAGGAACGATACCCCAAATCTCCAAGCAGATCATACGGTGGCAAGGCAGTATCCATTGGCCAAAGGAGTGTCAAGTAGCCACGAAGTATGGACACTCCTCTGGCCAATGGATGCGGCCCTGCCAACGTATGATCTGCTTGGAGATTAACAATAGCCGTCCATCCCACCCCTCCTGCTATTCCAGCTATCACCGCTAGGTGGCGGTTTTGTTGCATGGTAAAGTCAGGTGGGTGGAAAGGGACTCCTTAAAATCTGAATTTTGCAACGCAGAGAAGCAATAATGCTGCCGTGATGAGGTTAAAATGCACCTGTTGCATATGGCCTTATGTTAAATACGGAGACGACCTGTTTCGCTGGCCTAACAAGCTG